GGTAAGGCCAGCAGAGACCCTCGTTGCAGTCTGCAACTGTCGGTTATGGAGAGCTTTGTCTCCTTACCGCCACGTGCATTTGCCTCTGCACTCCTGGGCTATTGGAGCAGGCCCTCCGCCCCAGGGACGGGTAAGGCCAGCAGAGACCCTCGTTGCAGGCTGCCGAGGCATCTGGATTGTAATCCGACGCCATCAGCCGAGAGTTCCTGTCGTCTGGCTGAAAACGAAACCAGCCTTTTCTTTCTCTTTCTTCCATCTTCTCTCTTTTTCCAAGTGTGCGCTTTTAGCGCGGCCTGGGCACGTCCTGCTAGGAGCAGGGCCGGCAAAGAAACTGGAGAGCCTGCAAGGGGATAAGCCCCTCCCCGCCTGGATCAAAGCCTGGAGCCGACCCTACAGGAAGAGGGAGGAGCTTATCCCAGAAGTGAGGAATGTACCACGACATAACCACTGGAGAATTGGCAGTGGGAATTCCCACAAATATTGAAATCAATTGAATTCTGAATATCAAAGATGTGGCCATTTTGGTTTCTAAACGTTGGATTCTAAATGTTGGGTTTTGTGATGGTGGATATAAAATATAAAACTGAGGCCACTGTACTTTGGTCACATTATGAGAGGACAAGAGTCACTGGAAAAGACAATAATGCTAGACAAAGTTGCAGGTAGCAGGAAAAGAGAAAGACCCAACATGAGATGGATTGACTCAATAAAGGAAGCCACAGCATTCAGTTTGCAAGACCTAAAAATGGCTGTTAACAATATGATGTTTCAGAGGACATTAATTCATAGGGTTGCCATAAGTTGGAAGCAACTTGACAGCACTCACACATACGCACATAAAATATGGAGCTGTTTTATACAGAGTCTGTCTACCCCTGAATTCTCTAAATCAACAGGCAGAATTCTTCCCAAGCCCCACTAACAAAAATAATTTTAACTGGAATAATCTGCAATCTTCTCCATGCAAAATATGTGCTCTACTTCAGAGCTATAACCCATTATCAAATGTCCTATTGATATACATTAAATATTTTATTTATTTATTTTGTTGGACTTTTAGCCCTCCCTTCCCCACACAGAAGGCTCAGGGTGGGTCACAACATTCTTAAACATACAAAAATTTAAAATAGAATACAGTCTATATAAACAATCACAATACAGTATCTATAATATATACAAGGCAAGTCGTGCCAGCGATGACTCACCTAGTCTCCCACTGGCCCCTGGGGAAGCTGCCTTGGTGTCCTATTGGCCCATCCCACCAGCTCCCCAGTTTTGACGCACTGCATCTTGGGAGTTGTAGTTCTCAGCTGGCCTTACTGCAACCATAGCAAAGGGAATTCAAACTACAACTCCCAAACTGGGAGTCCAAAGAGGCTGTGGGGCATTAGCTGGAAGTCAGTTGAAGTGTTAATCAGTTAAACTGTTAAATGGGGGCTGGAGGGAAAGGGAAGTCCTGGACATCTCCCTGAATTACAACTGATCTCCAGACGGAGGGTCAGTCTACAGCAGTATACCTCACTGAAGTCCTTAAACAAACCTGGCTCTCCCCTAAGTATTGCCAACCTCCAGGTGGCACCTGAAGATCTCCAGGTATTACAACTGATATCCAGATGTCCAAGATCAGTTATCCTGGAGAAAATGGCTGCTTTGGGCAGTGGACTCTATGGCATTATACCCTGCTGAGGTCCCTCCCCACCCCAAACCCTGTCCTCTCCAGGCTCTACCCCTCAAATCTGCAGGTATTTCCCAACCCAGAGTTGGCAACCCTGTAACTGGCTACGGAACCTCTTTCCAAACCCTTGGAACCCAGAAAACATTGTATAGGAGGAGGTGCTTTTCTACCTTAGCTGCCACTGCATAACCTCAAACCAACATAAGTCAGGGCTGGAGGGAACCATACCTGTTACCATGTGGCTGTCCTCCCATACTTGGGGCAGCAAAATGACTTGAGACAGCCCTGCCTCATAGCTAAGCAGAAGGAAATAAGTACGGCTCGACTCCCTCTATTTTCCCCTTCCCTCTGCTGGCCCACTAGCCATAGCCAAGCCACTCACCTGGAGCCTCTTTCTAGAGCTTGTTGTGTTTCTTCCCACAATGGGCCTTACTCCTAATTAATACATAAAACCCTTAAGAGGCGCCAGCTGACCAATTTAATGAATTGGATGGGCCTCCAGACTATATATCACTGCAGACTGAGACAAGGGAAGGGAAGTGGGTGTGTGAGGAGAGCAGCTATGATGGACTATGGACACTGCTAATCAAAGCTAAGCAAGGCAAAACAGAGCAGGAAAGGCCATTGTATTTGGATTGTCGCCGTCTCAACCACAGGCCTGGTGGAACATCTCTATTTTACAGCCCTGTGGAATTGCATAAGATCCCGCAGGGCCCAGATCTTATTAGACTGGAACAAGTTCAAGGAAAGGATTTCTACACCTTCTCCTTTCCCCTTTACTCCCTATAAAGCCACCCTTGAGAAATCAAGGAACCATCAAGAATCGTGTCGAATGAGGCAGTGAGGGCTGCAGCCACAAGAAGCCAGTGACATAGGCCCACCCCAGCTGAGTCACAAGCAGGCACAAGAGGTGTGGGGCAGAGGAATTTCTATAGATTTCCATGTACTTTGTTCCATTTCTATAGATTTCTGGCACTTTGTCCCATATTATGTTTGAGAGTTCCACAACCCTTAAGAGTATTTTATGGGGAGAGGACAGAGCTTGAAGAGGGAATGGGGCAGCAGCAAAAATCATTTCTATACACTTGTTCCTTTCATGTACTGGTATTCCAATCTATTATATTTATACATCCTTTGTAATGCTTTTAGAAGTTACTTATTTTCCACAAATTTTATAAATGTTTTACCCTAATGGCAACTGTTTAATATTTTATGCCAATAAAAGGTATTTGTTTGATGTTGTTATATTTATACATATAAACTAGTCAGATGAAAAATTAAATCTGAATAGATGTTAAAGCCCTTGCTGCCAATAGTATTTAACTCCAATGGGATGTTCTACAATTTCTTTTTCTTTTTTAATTAAGCTGAGTACTTACCAGTTTTGTTTATATCAAGTTCTGATAACTTTAGGGACAGTTCACTAGAATTTCCACTTGTAGAGGATACAAGGATATCATGAAGTGCATTTCGCCTCCCAGTTCTTCCAGAAGCAATGAAATCTGCATATGTTGACTCCACATCAGTCATTGCTAACGGGTATCCACATAGCAATACCTAAGAAAGCCAAACACAAAGCAAAACTATTTTTAGGGCACATGTGCCAGAGGGAGCTGGAGGCAAATATGAAAACGCCTGATCATTCCCGATACATACTCCTGACAAGGTCTCATTATGAATTAAGAATAATGAAAGCTGACAAAATGTTCCAGTACTGATGGTATTTAACTATGCTGCTACAGTTGCAAAAGACTGCACTTATTTGAGAGAGGTTATATAGGAGAGACAGCCCCTTAAATCAAGTGAACTGCATGCAAAAATAAACAAATGTTCACTTATATGATCTGTGGCATACAGTGTTTACACTTGAACAGCTTAGTATGTGCTTTGTATATTTCAATTTGGATGTCTGTATATATTCTTAATGTACCAAAGAGTTTTGCACAAATGCTGGTAGCAGTATGTTTAAAGAATTTCCACAATAGAGTGATGTTACTACATTAACCAAGTCTCTCAGTTAGACCTGTGCACAAGTTACAATGAAACATACAGTGTGACTCTGGTGCCATACAGGGATGCCAAGCTTTTTCTTTAATAAGACCTAATAAAAAGTATTAAAACTTATATACATGTAAAATCCCTGCTCATATAGAAAACTTGAACTTTACTCCTGGCATGTTACCCAGTTTTGCTCTGTTGCAGAAACAGAACATGGACCAGGAAGAGCTGCACTTGTGATTTAAACCTCACCTTTATCCAGGTAATAGTCTCTACTTTCATTTGTAAAGTGAGTGTGCACTGGCTCTTTCTTACAAATAGATGGGCTGATTTGGGCTCCAAGGGAGGCTTCACTGTGGCTAGGTCCGGCAGCAACCACTGGGCAACTTGTTACCACCTGACTTGCATAACTCACCCAGGCCTGGCAAGCAGCACTACATAACTGGGCCATAGTTTCCTGCAACCCTGTAGACACAATTTTTTTCGTGGGAGGACTCTGGGGCACTAATTAAGTTCATTAAAGTCATTAATTAAAATAATTCATGTGCCCAGGATGCGTGTCTCCCCGTCTCCCCCCCGGTGCCACTCATGCAGCAGCAGCTTCAGTGGCCCCATTGGAGCCACCTCAGCCATGGACCGTCTGTCAATCCACCGTCCTTCCCCACCTGGCACCAGAGATGCACTGCCTGGCCCAAACCAGGAAGCCAGCATGTGAGGATGGCTGCCAGGCGGGAAGGTCTGTGCCCCGGGCACTCAATGTGGGAACCAGGGTGAGGAGGAGGACAAGTGGTGCTCCCCGCCATGGCCAGCTGGCCACCCCACTTCTGGCCCAGGCATCCCCTCCTGCTTCTGAGGGACTCAGGAGAGGGAGAGAGCCATGGAGGCAGGCAGGGCAGTGGATGGTGAGCAGGCACATCTCTTTGTGGGACCTGGGGGTCAGGTGGGGCAGGGAGGGAGGTCTAACGGGGGTCATCTGTGGGGGGTGTCACCCCCAAAGCCCCACCTCTGGCTATGGCCCTGGTTTCCTGTGTAGAGTTTGCAAAAGGTAGAGAAGGAAAACAATCTGAAGATGGAGGAGCATAGAAAGGAAGGCTGGCTGGAGGGCAGGAAGAAGAGAAGGAAGCAAAAAAAGGGGATAAGATATGGAAACTACTAGGTAATGGAAAGAGAAAATAGTTGGGGATAATTAAATGAGATTCCCCCCAAGTCTTTGTGCCCCTCTGCTTGTTTCTGCTGTAGCCATGTGTGGTCCCAGAATATTTGACTGAGCTTCCAGAACTCTGAAATCACACTTCAGACTAAACTGACAACCAGAAAACCTCATGCAGCATCAATTTAATGTGCTTTGTAAATCCATACTTTAAAAAAGATAATTGGAAGCAGCAGCATTTTATATGAGTTAAAATATAATCACTTAGGAGAGGCTGGTCAGCCCCACAGACTTTGGTCAGCCCTCAGTTAAAGGCTGCAAAGTGGTATCCAAGATGTAGGTTCAAGCAGGGCTGGCTCACCCGCTAGGTCATGGACCAGGAAGAGCTGCACTTGTGATTTAAACCTCACCTTTATCCAGGTAATAGTCTCTACTTTCATTTGTAAAGTGAGTGTGCACTGGCTCTTTCTTACAAATAGATGGGCTGATTTGGGCTCCAAGGGAGGCTTCACTGTGGCTAGGTCCGGCAGCAACCACTGGGCAACTTGTTACCACCTGACTTGCATAACTCACCCAGGCCTGGCAACTTCTCCTTACCCATGGCTGGTGGGGAGAGGCATCGGGAGAGCTGCCCTTCCCAGGGGCATAGAGAGGGGAGCCTGCACCGGGGCCGCGTTTGCCGCCGCCTGCCGGGGGAGTTGAGGCTGCTGGAGGTGCTGCAGGTGCCACCAGGCAGGACTTGCAAGGTAAGCGCACCCTGCTACTGGCTGGCCGGTGCACGTGAGCCCCAGCCCAGCTCCTCACCCACCTACCTGCCACTGGAGCAGCTGCCACCACCCACTGAGCGCTCTGCCCCCCTGCCGCTGGGCCCGTCTGTCTCCCTTCTCAAGCTTCCCGGGTGACCTCAAGAAGCTGCTCCTGAGCGAGGGCAGCCCCCTGCAGCAGCTGGCCGAGGTGCAGGCTGCCACCGGCCAAGGAAGACTTTCTTGGTGAGAGCACCAAAGAGCTGTGCCCGCCTCCATGGGCCTGGTGGTGGAAGCCCCTGCTACTGGCCGCCTGCAAGATTGTCGAGGCCGAGGGGGGGGGGTGGCGGAGGGGGCAGCTGGGCCGGGGGGCGCCAGGCGAGGATCGCATCAAGCTGGAGAGTCCACTGGAGTACGCAGTGGCTGGCGGTGGCATCAAGGGGGCAGCCAGCTGGGAGGTTTTCAGGCCCCACCGGGAGATTGGCATCTGCAGCCTCGCCTAGGGCACAGAAACCCCTTGGGCCGGCCCTGGTTCAAGTCTACTGTTCTCTCATCTGACCACCCTGGCATCCTCAGCCTCTCTCTCCCCATTGTTTTCAAATAGAAGCATACTTTTTTTGACAAAAATTGCTTCTAACAAACTTTTGTTTATTTTTGTTCTCTTTATTTGTGTCCTCCCTCCTACTCCAGTCTTTCTTTTCCTCTCTTCCAGCACTGCCAAGAGACAAAATAGCTATATGAGCCTTCCTGGAGCCAACTGACCTGTTATTTGAGAAGCAGGCGGAAAGGGATTAGGTAGAACATTTTATACGGGCTAAATAAAGCCATAGAGAGTATCTCAGGAGCAGTAGTTTGGACTTATGAAACTTTTGAGAATAGCAGGTGACAGGGTCATCAGCCCAAACATTGACAAACTAATTTTAAGGCTGCAAACAGAATCTAAAATGGAGCTCAGGAGGAGTTGCTTGCGGCTTTCTTCTTTCTAGGAGAAAGAGAATTTTTCCCCAAGAACACACCTTGATAATCAGTTAAATCTTTGCCAGCAATACATTATCTGACAAGCCCCACAAATATTTATTGCTTATGTATGTTCAAATCCTTCAGATCCCTCTGACAGGAAGTGAATGTGATATTCCTTGCAAAGTAGGGGAGGGAAGAAGGGAGATAGCCTTGGCCTCTTCATTCTCTCTTTCCTCAGGCTCTTACCTAATTTTTGCTAGGATGAGAGAGCAGGCAGAAAAAGATGATGGAAGTGATACCTGGGGCAGGTCAGATTTCAGCCCCTTCACTGATCCTTGAGAACTGCCCTTCTGCTTATATTTATTATTTAGTTCATTATACTTACATTCTGTTTTTCAACTACGGAGTTCTTAAAGCAGTTAGCAAGATTTTAAAATATAACTTTTAACTTGTCCCCCACATTCTGTACCTCACAATACTACCAATACCTCAGCCCTTGCTCTGGGACACCATTATTTTATTCCCACCTAGAGCTGCACATTCCCAAACGGCCCTAACAAAAGCACAGAGGAGCCAGGGGCTGTTCTGCCTCTGCTTGCAATTCAGTTGGTGGCTCAGAATGACAGTTGCTTGGATGAGGCCCTACTTAGCCCACCACTCTCCATACTGAAGATATTTTAATGTTAGGCCGGATTTAGACTCAGAGCAACCAGTAGAGATACCTGATCTTTTTTGCCTAAGCTTGGTTCTATATAGTTAAGAGCAATCTTTAACCATACCAGTGCAAAACTGTGAAAAAACAGGGACTTGGTGGGATTACAATTTATCCAGCCCATCCCGCATGTGGAGCTCTGTTTTAGGCAGATAACAATTCAGAAGAGAGAAGCAGGGTAAAGTCTAAAGTATGTATGTTCATTGGACTTTGGAAGGCTACTCTAGGTCTGGCAGTATCCTCTTGGTGACTTGATGACACCTGACTGGCATGACTCCCCTAGGCATGGCTGCTTGCTCCTGTTCACCAGCAGCAGCCCCCCCCCCCTCCAGGACAGCCAGTGTAGTGTAACAGTTAGTGCCAGACCCAGGTTCTCGCTGTGGAAGCTGAGTGGGTGATTTCAGACCACTTTCAACCTCACCAGCTAACAGAGTTGTTGTGCAGAACAAAAGGGGGAGAGGAGAGTGATGTAAGCTGCTTTGGTCCCCAACTGTGGAGAAAGACTGCACTTTTCCTCCTGGGGAACCATTGTTGCCAATCCCCAGGGGAGGGCTAGGGTCGCTCAGAATTACAACTGCTCTTCAGATGGCAGAGATCAGTTTCCCCGGAGAAAACGGTGGACTCTGTGTCACCCTGCTGCGGTCACCACAACAAACTGATGCTGAGTGCCCAAGGCCGAGGTACCCGCCCAGAGCCTCTTTCTAGAGACTGTTGTATTTATTTCCACAATGGGCCTTATTCCTAGTTAGAAATAATTGTTTTAAAATAAATTGTCAGACAGAACATTTCTTGCATGAAAATTCTGCATTTTGATTACTTCTCAGTATGAGTCAAACAGGATTCCATTGGTGAAGTCCTGTCTGTCTGATCTCTTGATCCAGGGCTGATTTCTGAGGCTAAGTGCAAAGCCGCTGGGTAATTGGCCAAATGACCAGCTGCACTGAGCCACTCTTCAAAAACAAATAACTAGGCCCTTGATGCTAATTTAGTATCA